GGCGGACAGCCCGGCCGATGGCACCCAGGCACCCGCAGCGCTCGGAGGGCGCAGTCCCGGTGATGCGCTGGGCGCGGACGCCCCACATCTCTTCCTCCGGCTCCCATATGGAGACGAAAGTGAAAGCCACTGCAGGAACCACGTGGAGAAAATAGATGCGTTTAATACTGGGAAGGTCTATCCAATGACACAGTTTATATTTCGTCGTGAATCGCTTTTTTCTGATAGGGCCCGCTTGGGTTAAAGAGAAGCTTCCGGTAAATGAGAGCCGCGTCCGCGATGCAGCACACCACCGCCAGGAGGCCGCACACCTGGGGACGAGACACAGCGTCACTGCGGCCACCCGGACTCTGTCTGCAAGGGGTCCGCCCTCCGGGCCTCCCCTCCTGCTAGGGCACGGGCATTGCTGATACTATGACGGGAAGAGAACTCAGAGACCATATTAATATATTTTATTGGTTTGGGTTGTTTTTTTTAACAGAGAGGAAAGGAGAGGGACAGAGTTAGAAACATCCATGAGATAGAAACATCCACCAGCTGCCTACTGCATACCCCCCACTGGGTATGTGCCAGCGACCGAGGTACATGCCCTTGACCGGAATCGAACCTGGGGCCCTTCAGTCTGTGAGCTGATGCTCTAACCATTGAGCAACTGGCTAGGGTTAGTAGGCCATTTTTAAAATTAATTGTACTTACTTATAAAATTCTCAGGCTCATTTCTTCTTATTTAGAAAAAAATAATATGAACTTCTTGAAAATGCTTTTACTACAAGTATTTGCTGATAAGGAAGATGCATAATAATGAAAAATAGCTACTATAAATATAATAATGAGGCCGTGGGAAAATAAAATTGAGGTCAAGGGAATGAACTAGAGCGCGGTCTTCAAGCACGCGGACCGCTATTCGAGAGCTGGTGCCTGGGCTGGAGAAGGGGCACTCCTGCGTGCTATTTGCTCAGCTCCAGCTAAAGGCCTGGAAGTCTGGCTTTCTGGCTCCAGACACCGCTCCATTTCCACCCTGAATCTCGAGCGTGGCTTTCTAGGTTCTGACCACACAACCCTCTCTCCCTTCCTCTCTGTAAAAAATCAATAAAATAAATTTAAAAAAAGATTATCTTTAAAGACTACTGGGGACATTGCTGTTTCTACCTATGCTTTCATGACTCTGGTACTCTCCACACATTTCTGGTTCCGCTCCCTGGGAAATCCCCCTCCCCCGCCCCCCCGCTACCCCGCTTTCTCCCTTGATTCCTGGCAAACTTTGATTCCACGGCCAGAAAGTTGTAGCTTCCTCTTTTCTGTGCCCCCAAACACTCTGTCACCAGCTCACATACAGCTGTTCACACTTCTGTCTTCTGCATTAGGCTCTAAGTAACTCGAGGAAAGGGCCCATGTTCTAGTCCAGTGCCGTCCCAAAGAAATAAAATGTGTCACCAAGCCCCGCCAGCGTGGCTCAGTGGTTGAGTACCAGCCTATGAACCAGGAGGTCATGGTTTGATTCCTGGTCAGGGCACATGCCCAGGATGCTGCTTGATGATCCCTTCTGATGTGGGGCCTATACAGGGTGTTCTGCTCTCATATTGATGTTTCTCCCTCTCTCTTCCTCTCTCTATAAAAGTCAACATATATTTTAAAAAACAACCCCATAGTAAAATATGACATCCAGGATGGTGATAATGCTACAGAATATTTCTATCAGCATAAACCTGGCTTTCTGGCTCCAGACACTGCTCCATTTCCACCCTGAATCTCAAGCGTGGCTTTCTAGGTTCTGACCACATGAAGTACCTTCTACCTATGCTTTCATGACTCTGGTACTCTC